TTGTTTGGTGTGTTTCTTTTAGTACTGACTCAGTTTCCTCCATCAACTCCTGGAATCACAGTGGTCAAACTATTTAATGCTGTAAGTTTCCTTCTCCTTCTTTTCTGCTGGACTGAGTTTGTTTTCAGAGAGTGATTCAAACTTTACTCTTTCAAACAGGTTAACAAGGCTCAACATGCTCAGAAAGGTTTGAATCCTTCAAGGTCAAAAGACGCTAAAGGTAGGCTTAGATATTGATCTTTCGCCTGAATCTTTCTGTATCCATCGTCCTAGTATTGCCTTCTGAACCTGTTTATTTTGTTTTGTTGGAACATCCATCAGTGTTAAAGAAGCGAAGAAAAGAAGCATTCTTCTCGGAGTTGGGGAAAACATCGAAAGGAGACTCTAAGGTTTGGCATATCTCCCACTTCCTCCCCCAATCTTGAGTGTTTTCAAACCTTCACTTTTGGATGAATGTAGAAGCATGTTAATACCCTGTCTTCATCTGGCTCCTAAAGAGAAAGTAGCATGAGTCATGTGATAGCTCTCAGATATATATAAATCAAAAGTATCTTTGGTAAATTACTAGTGAGATTCTGTTGCATGGTGCAGGCTCAAACATCTTCAAATCCCAATGGAGACGAAGCTCCTGCTTGGGCTCCTCTTTGTGATAATTATATGTTAGCAAACCCAAAGCTCAAGGACTGGGACAGAAAACAGGTATCCTTCAATCTTATCCAAAGATCTGGAATATACACTCTTTGCCTGAATCTGGAAATTGAATGTCTGCAGGAAACAAGTGAGGGTGATGATTTTGCCGCTATGTCAGGAGATGAAAGTTATGAAGACTGAGTTCTTCTTAACAAGTTTGAACCGGTAGTTATAATAGTATGAGCAAACTTTAACTGCTTTGTATCATGCAGCTGTTGTCCGATCAATATGAATCAATTCTGTTTTTTTGATAGTGCAACAAGAACTTGAAAGCAAGATAGTATCAATAGAATTTGTTTTTTTTTTCTAATTCTTGTGAGTTGGCTTTTGGAAAATACACACTTTTTAGAACCGTTAATCAAAGCAGAAGTAAATTTCTATGTGGTGTACTCTAATATTCTTAAACATGATGGACAAATAGTGCAAACAAATTAGAAATTCATACGGGGATTTACATATAAATATTGAGAAATATACAGTCTTCCCTTGGCTACAATAGAACAAAATTTAAGGATCCAGCTACTCAAGAAGATGACAGAAGAAGATGACAACTTTATGCAAAAAAGAGGAGAAGCATGACCCCTCTAAACAAGAATGAAGCTTTTGAGGCCGAATCTGGTAATCCTAATTAGCCAATGATGGCCATTAGAACCAGTCTTGATCTGTTAGACTGGAAATGCTTTTCACTCTAAAACTGCCCGTTGGTTTACATCTCATTGTCTGAGCTTCTTCATCCTTTTGGGTTTGTGGCATCCTCAATAGCTTCTTGTTGGGCTCAGCGGGTCGTAATCATAAGCTTCACCTGACTTGACGAACCGTCCCTTCACACGCCGTCTCACATCAGCCCTTTCTTTCCTAGAGACATATCTCACTCGTTTGTCAAACCTATTTACACAAAATATGTACACAGCATAAGCAAATAACAACAACCTTTACTGATGATGAATTGAATTCCATTTCCAGGTGATTTATACTTACTTGCGAGCCTTCTTTTTTTCCTTGTAACGCATAACTGCATTGTTACGCGTTGTTGCGTGTGAGGAAGCATTAATCTCCTGTGATGTTGGAGGGCACCATGGTGGTGGCTCTCTTGAAACCTGCTGCAGCGATGAAGCCCCACAATCTTGGAAATCTCCGGCAGTACTTTCTCCAGTGACGCCAGAGAATGAGATATTTGAATTGGATGGCTTTGATGAGAAGCAAATTATTGGCTCAGTTCTACAGCTCATGAACGAATCTGCAGATGCACCATTGCTTCCAGCTGGCTGCTGCATTGCGTTTCCTTGAATTGAACCCTGAAAAAACAAAAACACAAAAAAAAGAGAGCATAAGAAAGCAAAATTCATCGTTCAATTTGCTGATACTAGTCAGATCGAAGAAGAATGTTGAAAGAACCTCTGGAGCTGTATGTTTCTCAAAAAGACTCCCAAATCCACCGTGTTCGAAGAGATCTTTTGAAGAGTTGTAGGCTGTACCAAAGAGCTCTTCGTAGTTTTCGAGGGCCAAGTCCACTTCATCCATAATGAGATTGCCATAGAAGTCATCTTCACATACTCCAAGACCCTGCAACCAAAACAAGAATAAGAAAGATTTAGATGCCAGTTGCTTCCAAGATTCTACCAGGATATGAAGAAGATCAAGTAAAGTACCTTAGCCAATGAAGGATTTTCTGGAGCAGTGGAACGATCCATACATTGTGCAGCAGAACTGGTTTCAGGCTGATCTACATTGACATTTTGGGCAGCTGACTTTTCTCCAGGATCGTCGCCTATAGTCATCAACCCCAATTCTTGCTCACAGGCAGATTGTCCAGCAGAAGGGAAATCCAAATCCAAATCCAGACAGAAGGACCATATAGAAGCAAGCTCGGCACTTGAAGGGCAACCAGAATAACAAGTGATGGTTTGCCTTTTGTGATGTGAAGCAGTAGTGGGGTTGTGGCCCAACCAATCACAGTTTTGACAGAGAGAAACCCTCTCATCGGTACAGCGAACGGTTGCTGGCTGTTCATTGCACCTCTCACATATGAGAGTCCGCGAATGGCGTTTGGATAAACCATTAGCAGAATGGACATTACGGTCACAGGAGAGGCACAAACACGCTGCATCAGAGCGGCAATGCACCATTGATCTTTGTTCACCACAGAAATCACACATATAACCCATCTATGTCCAACAGAAGCAAACTGAGAAAGAAAGCAGGCTCCTTTTTTCACTGATGAAGAATCAAACTCTTTGTGTTAGTCCTCCTTATTATCACAATACATGATGATATTAGTAACAGCTTCTTGACTGAGATGGGTCTTAATTTTGAATTGAAAAACAAGTCCACAAGTAGAACAAGATCCAATCATTCTTAGCAAAACGTGTAATAATTTCTATAAAGAGGAGGGCGATTAATGAGGAGGATAAAAAGAGCAAACCACAGCTACAACCTCAGATCAAGAAATCCTCGACCCGTCAAAGGAAAAACCCAGAGAGAAGAGCAACATAGATCCACTCCACTTGGAGATCAGCCAGCCAGCACAAATGGGTTTCTAAACAAAAGCAAAAGGAAAACAACAACTTACGAATGAGAGAGATGGTCGAGGAAGCGATGATGATGATTCCACAGATCTTTTCTGCGGCGAGGGAGGGAGGGAGGGTAAAGAAAGAAAGAGAGAGACAATGGGTGGGTGTGTCTGCGAAGGGACATGTGAGTGACATGAGCTGATAAAAACTTTTAAAATTTGGGGGAAAAAGTGCAAAAAGGGTGCATTCTTGGGGACCCCACAGATATTTACCCCAATCGCTCACTTCTTGTCCTCGCCTTCTCCATTGCACACGTCAACCTTTTCCGGTTCTGGATTCTCAAGGCGTTCCCTTTTAGTCTTTCCTTTGACCTTACAAAACAAAAATATCTCTCTTGCCTACAAAAGGAGATATTTTTTCTAGGGGAAAAGAAATATCTGGCAAGTTAGATACGTGTCTATAATTATATTTATTTTTGAGAATTTGCAATCAATAGCAACCAATTATACCGTAATTAGTAAACTGGCAACAAAACTGTGCAAACAACTATGCATTTTTGTTTATGCCGACTTTGGCCCTATTATTGTGTGTAGGAGATGTGGCCAAACCGTAGGATGTTCTTATTGAGTTGTCAAAAGAAAATCTTGAACAAATCTATTTTGAATTGGGAGATATATACGAAATTGTGTATGTATATAAGGTACTGTTTTCATTGTTGGAAAACTAAATACTAAAGTAAAATATAGCTATAGTTATTCGCGAAGGGCCGATTAGGCTTTGACATTTTAATGAGTAGCATCAGAGAGAGAAATGAGATCACTTTATCGCAAAACACTATTCCTATCAAAGGTTTTGTTCATGCTTTATAGCTAGTTATGATTGAAGCCGTTCCCGCCTTGCTTGACGTTGTTCAAGTTAACTCTACATCGTCGTCCAAGTCAGAAGGAGAGAGTGAGAAAGAGTCTCTGCAGGAGAAAAAAAATAAGTCTTGGCCCTTCACATGCCAGAGATCTACACAATGATCCTAAGGTAACCCAAAATATTTATATATTACTGGTAATATATATTGATTACGGATAATCAATCTGGTAACAGCTATTTATTTATAATGCAGACTCTAGTTAACAGTTTTGATGAGACAGAGCTTTTGTGGTCTGATGATGAAGAAGATGTGAAGGTCAGTAACATGCTTCAACTCATCAACAAAGAGCATAATTCTGCAATTCTATGTTCTCCGGTGGGGCTACTAAAGCGGATGTTATTCGAATAAATAAAGAGACGAAAGAGAAGAACGCAAAAGCGAAACAAAAGAAAGGTGTAGGCTGTTATGAGATAGCTGGACAAGGTGTTGGTAATGTTGAAGGGTTGACTTTTAATGAATCTGATTTACAGCAGTTTGCAGAGATTGTTGCTGATAAAATGAGCGGTGAGATAAATCGATTAGAGGTGAAGTTAAACGAGTCTCTGGTAAAAATGGAGGAGCTGATAACTGCAATTACCCTTCTTGAGCCTGACATCACTTTGGAGTTGGTGAGTCAATTAAACAAGATGAAAGTAGATGTGATTGAGGGTGTGATGGATGTTTTGGAGAAGTCAGTGGGAAGAACGGCCAACAATGCGAGAAATGGAGAGAGAAGCGATGCCAAAACTGTGTTGAAGAAACATGGGGAGTCTGAAGTATCTGCGGGGAATCCTCATCAGAACCAGGTAAATGTGATCTGTCCTGAAGAAGTTGGGAGTATCATTTCAGGTGTACTTGGAGATCTCAAACAGGTCGCAGTTGATATAGTATGTTTTTGGTTGTGAAAAAATTAGTGTCCATAAAAGAAAATGGAATTTTCTTTGTTAACTTAACTTACTTATGTTTTAGGGTTTTATTATAGAGAACTCCCAACATAGAAATTGATTAGGTCGAGCTTTTGCAATATATCTTGTAGGGTGCTGGTGGTGTCGAAGATGTTGCTGGCCTCAATGGTAATTCTTCTGAAGTTGGAGACAATAATGTTGTTGCACCTTTGATAGTCAATGTAAGAATAGCTGATTAGTTTTGTGTTTTATTTAAAATCTTATCTCAGTTTGAATTGAATCTAATAATTGAGTTAAATTGTAGGGGATGGCATCCAGAGATGTTGGTGCTAAGAGTATTGAAAATTGTCTACAACGCCTAACCGTAAATGAGGTATTGATATCAAATTTTGATATTATATTTTGCTAGAATTTCAGAATTATCAGTCACTGCTACTAATGCCGTCTCCTACATTCTCGCTTGGCCTATCTCAGGAAGATCGAGCAATTGGGCAACCTGGCGGTAGAGAGACTGATGTTGCGACTCAGATAGTTGGGGATTCAGTAGGTGAAGGCGATGGCGGAATTCTTTGTCGTAAAAGCAAGAGGCAAAAAATTATTCTAGCTAGTCTTGTTGGGGACTATCAGTGTGATAAGCGGATGCTTCATCGGGCTAGGGAATCCCATCTCTTTGGTTTTGGGGATGGTCAAGCTGAGATTTACGCCAACAAGTTTGTGAAATTGAATGAGAAGCTAAAGGATGCTCAGTAAGTTGGTTGTAATATTTCAATTAAATTGGTTGTTATTAATGAATATGACAGCTAACATTGATAAACTAAGGTATCTTTTAGCATAGCCGGCTAGTAAATTGTATAGCGGTTTTAGGAAACTTAGCCGGTTTGAATTCTATAATATGATTTTCGCAGAAATATACGTCTGATGGGAGCTAATGTGGCATCCAAGGACTTTATTGACGTTGCTGAACGAACAAAATCTTTGCAGCCTAAGGTTAGTGTGTTACCTATTATTCCAAATTATAAAACATCATGCATTTGGATACTTTACCGGTAAACATTCTTTCTTTCTTTTTAATGGTTGACTTACTTATCCACCATACACGGTCACTTTTGGGGAAATTTGGGGCTCACGTGCCGAAAAAGTTTGAGTTTTTCGACAACAAATTTGTCTCATGTCTTGTGAAAAACTACTCCAAGTTTTCGAAGAACCAAAAGAAGGAAACGCACTTGTTCCCTAAGCAAGTTGTGTAGTACTTCAGTGAGGAGAACATTAAGAATGTTGATGTTGATCGCTTTTACTTCACGTTTAACTTCGATAAAACCCATTGGGTTGGTATTTGTGTTGACTGCCCCTCTTCTAGCATCATCATTTTAGACTGTGATATCGGCCTCCGCAATGATAACGCAATTTCAAAGGAGCTAGGCCCGATAGCTCTGTTGTTCCCATATCTTCTTAAGCAGGTTGGCCGGTTTCAAACAACAAAAGAATTGAAAGCGTTTTCTGTTGAGAGGTCTAAAAGTATCCCGCAAAATGGGAACCATGTTGATTTTGCTGTAACGGATGTCCTTTTAATGCAAGCTCATGCAATTGGTGGTTTAGAAGTTTGTTGATGCATCACAGCTGACGTTATTCCATCAGAGTCACAGAGGCTAGTTGTTATGATGTATGAGGAGAACTACGAGCAATTATAGGGTAAAGGGAGCTTAATTTAAGGTTTAATCTGATCTATCTTGAAGAAACCCGCTTCTCTATTCTCTTAACTCTACTTTTCATTAGTTTGTTTCCTATGTTTTCTATTGTGTTCAACTATGTTTTATAACTTCTTTGTAAAAAATATTTGTATGTTTTGTTTAGTAAGTGGCTTTCAATTTGGACTACTTAAACAAACTATATGATCACTTACAGTTTTTATGACCAGATAAGATATCATATAACCGAATAAGTCACTAATTAGACGCTTAATGGAAAGTTTTAAGTCGAGACTGTTTTAATCACAATTCATATATGGAACTTGGTCGAACATTTTTTATACATTAATTAAGTGTGTTGAATAGGGACTAATTAAACAAACTACATGATTTTGCTAAATATTTCTATGTCTTTAATATGCAACCAACTATGTCGTCCAAGAAAAATGGTGTTATAATACTATTTAACATATTAATGTTTTTCTTCTCGCAAACCGGCTAAGATATCATATATCTGAATAAGTAACAAATTAGACGGTTATGAAAAGTTTTATAGGGAAACAATATTAAACATATTTCATATATGAAGAGGGACAACATTATTTATACACGGAGTTGGAACATGTCTCATCTGGGATGATAAGTTAATATCATACAATATTTTAAACATGAAAATTTTGCTGACCCAGGTGCAGCATAGATAATTCGACGACTCATCAACTCTTACTTTGCCCCTGCTACATGTCACATTTTCATATTGTCATTTTACAAGTGGCCCGGTTGTGGCCAAGCCACTTGCACCGGCTGCATACAGTCTTGCGCCTCAAGATCTTCCCCTAATAGTTTTAGAAAAAAATGAAGTTAGTAAACCAATTTAGTAGATACGATGCATCAATGTATTTGTCATCACCGTGCTCTTACATGGATTTCTCCATGAGATAAGAAGCGTTTCTTTCGCTGACTACCAGGTGGGCGTCTTGTTGTTGGTGAGAAAAGAGTGAGGGTTGACAGTGCCGATTTTATGTCATCTACTCCATCAATCTCTGTAACTGGGTTTATGGTGCTTCCATATGACAACCTCCAATGATTTGATGAGTATTCACTTGCCACCAAGGAATCAACTCAAACATTTGAAAAGACAGCCGCAACAATAGCATGAGAACAAGGAATGCTCAGCTTTTGGAACTCGAAACAGCTACATGTTTTATGGTAAGGTCAACATGGAAAGAGATTCCATCGTTGGTTCTCATTTGAAACTGAGCCGTGTCGATTGCTCGGACATCATAACCAGCAGAGACCTCGAAGTTAGCACCAAAAAATCTCTAGAACTCTTGGGGTAAGTGTTTCAGCAAATTCCAAAGAA